TGACGTCAATCGATGACTTAAAAAAACCAGCTATTCGAATATAGGTATGATCAATCTCACTTAAACTTCTGCTACTCCAAGCGAAGTTTTCATGACACGATGTAATAATATAATATCTAACTTTTTGTTCTCCCACATTTGAAGCTATATCGGACTGTTTTCAAAATCAATACAAACAATACTTCAACAATTTTAAATTCATAGTTTGATTCATTATTAAACGATACAAAGCACACCATAAGTATCATAATCAATGATAAATTCAACCATGTCTTTACTTTCGCGTAAACTTACATGATGGGCTGGCTATCTGCGCTGTGTCCGCCGCGCAGATCGAACCTTATTAAATACAAATTCAACTATGAAACACTACTTTGTAGTTTTTCAGCCTGCATTAATGATTTAATTCATCAAAAAATTTTTTTTTCAATCCTACTTCATTCGTCATACAATAAAACACAGATACAAACACCTATCCTGGCGGCTATATTTTGTATCAGCAATATCCTATTTAAGTCATTCCTGAGAATAAGTGTTACGTTTAAAATGAAAATAATAAAAAAATCTCCAAACTATGCCATGATATATTTGTTTTGTTGTATTATGAATGAAAGACTGAAAAACAATTTATTTTTAAACCAACTTTGTCATTTAATGGAATCTTTTTTTTTAGTTGAATGTGTGTTTATTTGAATAACACTTAGTTAATATCCCGTACATATTCTGTTTTTTATTATTGTGAAATAACCAAGCTATGAGACTTGTATATTTTCAACCTAACAAAAATGTGAGACCAATACTTTAAGGATTAAAGAAGAATTTCAAAATATGACCTGATCACATGTAAAACAGTAAAAATATCAGTTGTAAACTTTCATTATTTTGAACTATTTTTTGCATATTTATCAGGACACTCGTCGCGAAATACGTAAACAGTAACTCATTACTTGCACTCGATAACATCTTGAGCTCTTCAAGATATTCTCGACATCCTGCACCAATAAGAGAAACATTTCATAATATTATGAATAATATAGCTGTAACCAATCTTATATGATCCACTTCAAGGTTGGACCGATTGCGCCACAAACTTGGCTCTGGACCAAGGTCATATTGTTGCTAGACGTTTAAAACTTTTCACGCTTGTAGGAATTGCAAATTTTACCCCAAACCAAAGGTTTAACTAAATTACTGAATAGTAAAGATAATCGTTATACAGTTGAAGACTGTATGTAAATATTTTAATAGCATCATATGAAAAAAAAACACACACACACACACACACATACATACATACAGATATATATATATATATATATATTGATGTCAACTTGAATGCAAAAATACAAAGAAAATGGCAAAAAAGTTATTAAAAACGTTTTCGCCAAACTATCCAATTTAAATGTTTGACCAGTTTCCTTTATTTAACAACATTGTAGAAAATTAGTGTGTGATTACTTCTACATCACTCTATATGTGTTTTCTGTTTCGCAAAAATTATCGCTAGCACTGATCTATACCCAAACATTATGTTAAACGTAGTACTTGAGATAACGATAAACACATCACGCACAAAAACTGAACATCGTGAATATGTGATAGAAGGCGAGTAGTTACGACACAATATATAAGTAGTCCAAATCAAGGCCAGGGCGTACAGGGTAAAGCCTGTAATACAGCAACACACACACAAACAATATACCACAAGAATGACATACAAGGCTGCTGGGGTGTTTATGTGCAACACTATATAAATGAATGACAGAATGCGTTGAGTAGAAACACTATACTTTAATGATCCAGAGGTTGTGTAAAAACTTTACTTCAGTGACAGATTACCTGTTTATGAAAATCACTGTACTTTATAAATCAACGAAAAGGGCTATGTATGGTTTGTTTGGAATTAAGCACAAAGTTACCCAATGGGCTATCATCTGTGCTCTGCCCACCACGGGCACCGAAACCCGGTTTCTAGCGTTGCAAGTCCGCAGACATACCGCTGTGCCACTGGGGGGGCAGGCTATGTATGGAGGCATGGTATATTAAACATGGAAATGCGTATCTATCCAGATGTTTTGTAAAGAGTTGGCACACATCAACACCAGTGGGCGCCTAAATATCAACTAAAGAAGGTAAATATATATAGTGGAAAGTTTCATTGCTATAAAGCGTTATACATAAACTATAAATGAACATTTTAACAAAAGAGAGATACAGATAAATGATAGAAGAAACATTCATTCAACTTTTGATAAACATAATTTGAAAATCATGCACAGCAGCAGTTTATCTATACGTGGTCCATAAGGCGAAAAGACGCCGTCAGGGGGATAACAATGTGTCCCAGAATCAATATGGTGTGTGTGCATACCGTACGACCTGTTGCCTGCGCCCGCTGTTCCATAGCAGGTGGCAAGACTGGTGTAATGTCCATGCATATTGGACCATGGATCAGTGGAGCTATGTACATTTGCTGTTATGTTAAACTTATATTAAAGTTTTTCTTCATTACCCATTCAAGCCGTCTCCAGCCAGTATTTGTCTCAAAGTGGGTTCCTCGTCATCGAATATGTCTTCTTTAGATGCGAGTCGTAATTTACCTTCCAAAGCGATTCCTAGCCATAAATGTTTGAAGGGAGTACGGGGAAAACAAGTGTTCGATTTTAGTCAGTTGAAAAAAATAACATACAATGTGGTAATGGTATAAGCGTTAAGTACCTCAGAAATCCGCACGTCTTCGAAAGAGATGGTATACATTATCTGACAAGTAAGATATAAGATCCTGCTACTCATTCCTCGACCCTATGGAGTGGCTTTTGGCCCCAATTTCGGATTAATGAACGACAACGCTTCCTCTCCTCCCCTCATTGAGTCAGGTTACTCGTAGATTTCTTGGGGAACCAAGATATAAAATGTATGATCTGGACCGTGAGGTTGACATACCTCAAACCCATAGGACGTGTGTAAAATGCTCTTGAGCAAAGAAATTTATCTCCTCTGTAACCGTCGCAAACCATTCAAGATCTTACTGGTGCACATGCACCCACTGCTCCACAGCAGGCGATGAGACCGGTGTAATGACCATGTATATTGGACAATGGATCCGTGGAACTATGTCTTCTTTAGATGTGAGTCATGATTTAGCTTCCAAAGAGATTCTTGTTCCGAGGCGTGACCTGCGACCATGAATATCACAATTCTCACAGAAGACGCTCTTACTCATATTGGGGATTTACAACGTGGATCTCTTCTCTTACCCAATTTACTGTGGGGATTAAGAACGTGGGTGTCTTCTCTTGCCCAATTTACAGTCCACCTCACGTTTTGTATGTTCATATCAATAATAATAAAAAAAGTCATGCATTATAGTCACACTTAATTTGGGTATTATTTTCATTGGTGTATGCTATGTTACAATAATTAATACTTTAACACAGATTGTAAAGTATCTTGAAATCCTTTTAACTTTCTATTTACATGTGTATTTCATGGATAAATTGTGAGATCTACTTTAATTAGATGTATTAATTAATCAAGTATTATGCAGTGATGTATTTTATGGTTAATCACTACAAAAAAAAAGGTCTTTGGGGCAATATCTCTACTGCAAAAAAATCAGAAAATATTTTGCGTACTCGAAAAAAGGGTATTGGTGAAGCTAGCCCACTAATACCACTAAAAACCTAGAAAATTTCTTTAAAAATACCTTTGTTAGAGGTTGTAGAATTTAAAGTTCAAACATGTACACGTTTGTGTTTAGTTTGTTTGTAGTTAAGCATAAACTACACAATGGGCTATCTGTGCTGTGCCAAACACGAGTATCGAAACCGGTTTCTAGCGTTATACCTCCGCAAGCTTACTGCTGTGCCACTGGGAATCACATGTTCTTGAAAATATTTTGTTAACACAGAAAGAGAGAAGCATCAGTGAATATATTATATCCCACAACATCCTAGTGGCGGGAAAATGTATTTACGTTGATTTTTCCCAAATAAATACATATGTGGTGACGTTACAAGTAAAAAGAGAACTGGACCAAATGATGCACTTTTCCTACCCAGGACAGGCTATACCATTTCATTATCGTTGGAGTAAGGAACGACGGGATCAAATCACCTGTATATAAAAACTGTAAGATGAACCGTTACACTTCGGCGATTTCATCCTCGTATTACATAAATTGTATTTTTAAAGCTGCTTTCTGTAACGTCGGAATACTAAACCCGTTAAAACTCGAGTGTATACAAAACATTGCTGCTAAAACACAAACGTGTTTTATATTATCACATTGAATACAAATTCATGAGGCTGAAAACGTAATCTAACGATGGCCAACAGTACAATCACAGAAGTGACGAAAAACAACGCATTTAATGGATATTTCGGAATATACATATTCCATCTTCAGCAAATTCCTACAGTAAATACAAAGCTATGATTACAAATAATAACAAGGATGTTAAATATTAGCTTATCGTATCTGTGGTCCCGGTACTCAGACAGAGCCAGTTAAGTTTTATAGGAAATTTAAAATTGACGAGAACTACAGAACAGATTAAAAATAACGATTATACAATGCATCGAAATCACGAATACTGAATTTTTAGAATCCCCTTTTGAGTTGAGGCCCAGTGCACCCTTTCTATGATCCCCATCCTAGCGGCGGTAGTGGACACTAAAACTTATTAGATCGCTAAGTGTGCACGATGTAGCCGAGACAATTAAAGATTATCTCACTTAAACCGAAGTTGAAAAGTAGCAAAAGTCACTAAGAAGAAATTAACTCTAAATAAAATGCGTTCATTTAAAAGATTAACATAGTCTTTTCTCACTATAATGTAATAATTGTGAGCTGATCATAAACAAGCAAACAAATTGTTCATAATCAATTAGTAATGTTAACTCCAATTCGGAACATTTATCTTTGTTATTCGTTAGAATCTCACACGTGAAATACGTTGACGCGGCACGAACATAAAATAACTTTCTAATTATATTACCTTTCGGGATCCTTAAAGACAAATTTTCGAAGTTTGAGATCTCGCAAAATCACACCAGCCTCGTGACAGGCCTGAACTGCCTGCACCACCTGGCGGAAAAGTCGTAAAGCTTCTTGTTCTCGAAGGCGGCGTTTGTTGCGTACGTATGAATGCAAATCCCCATAGGAGCGTGAGAAGATGATATAACTTCTGGTTTCACCAATCAGTACTTGCTCTATCTGATTGATATTGGGGTGGACATCCAATCGAAAATGGCCAGCTACGGTTTTTTGATATTTTTCGTTCGGAACAACCTGCAACAAGCAAATTAATCACAAAGCATTAACGTATTTGAATCCATAAGGTCAAGTGTTGAACTTTGTATAACTGATTTGGTGTTATTTATTAAAAGCAGTTTACAACATTGTAAGATAATATTGTCGCTACTAGAACTATATACTGACATTAATGAGAAAGCGTTGCCCGACTCAAGGTGCGACTTAGTGAAACTTATATTTAAACGTCGGATATACAAGTTCATGTTTTGAAATACGCAACTAATTTCTAATATTATATAGCACTGTTCCAGAGTTTATTTTACTACTTATAAATAAAATTAAGGAGTCACAAATCTTACATTTTTCACGCCTTTTGAACAAGAATACCTTTTCACATATGGGAATAACAAATCCTGTTTATAATTAAAGGTAAATAACCCTGTAACTATTACTTTAAAAAACAACAACAACCAGTAAAGTTAATAAGACCACTGAAAGTTCAGGCCCAAAGTTTATATACAGAAAACATTATAGTAGTTGTGACGCTAACTCAGCATACTTTCTTCATCCTTTACACAGCTGAAGTATGCAGTATTGACATACGAGCACTTCACAAACCCCACAAGTGTATAAATAGGTTTAGAAACATACACAAGTACTAATTATAATTTTGATAATTATATTGTATTCATGATAGCTTTAAAAAAGATGGCTTTAAAAGAAGCGTCTCTTGTGTTGTTTGTTTTCTTTTGTCCTGAAGGAAATACATGCAACTAGGATCCTGGAACTGCTATACACACCAACTTACACCTACTTACGCCATATTAGCAACATTTTTTTTGGAAAAGCAAATTTTGACATATTACCCTTTTATTTTGAAAATAAGTGTGAAAAGTATTTGAAGTTGTCATGGAATATATTTCTAAATGGCTGTTTTGTTATTTAAGGCAATAGTCCCAAGATTCATATTTTTCTGCAAGTTAAATGGAATGAACGGGAATGTTAAATTTACTTTCGGGTTCAGTAAAACATCTTTGAATGTTCTTATAAATATGTAAATCAAAAAGAATGATTGACGTTTTCTATAACTTCGCCGATTCACAGAGATATTTAAATTATGTTTAGTAACCATCCTATATCTGTGAAAATAAATATTTTAACTTATCCAAAGATGATATTTTTTATGGTCTCCAATTCGGAGGTTAGAAATTTAGATTAAAAGAAGTAAATTTTTGGTTAATTTTCATCATCCAAAGTGTGATTGATCAAGAGTTTAACACTGCTGCAAATGTGTAAACTGAAGAAAGACTGGACAATATTGATAATGATGTTATCCTTGTTGTCACTTGTCACTACCCATTCTTCAGGCACTTGGATCAATAAGAATCTTACTCTATTGTCACTACCGTTCTACAGGTACTTGAGTCAATAACAAAGTTACTATTTTGCCACTACCCGTTCTCAAGGTCTATTGGTGTCCTGCTTACCACCTGGGTCAAATGGACCTAATATTGAATTAATACAATACAGAAACACAAAGGAGAAAGGTAAAATATGCACAGTTGTAAATAATTTTTTATTCGATTTATACTTTTATTTATTTCATCGTTTCTTTTGTCTAGACTGGGTCAATTGGACCTAGTAAGTAGTTCTAGGGTTAAGTATAATTCGATGATTTAAATATAAATATTGTAAGGGTTCTAAACTTTGACAATTTAAGTTATTGGTTTTGAGGTGGCATATACTTATTTATGTTGTAAGTGTTTTCGGTTTTATTTTTTATGTATTTTATATTATAATCTTATTTTAATAACTCCAGCTGCTTTTAAAATAATTGTAATTTTTCTAATCTTGTGAAGTTTACCATTCAAGACCAATAAGCTGACAAAAGCTACAAAACTGGTTACAGTTGTAAAATAGTACAGTTTTGTTGGTTTATATATATATATATATATTTAAGATAAATGAATATTCAATTTTTATCACACGTTGGCTTTAACAATTCTTGTAGTTCTTTTCTTCTAGCTTTATATTTTTAAAATACATTCTTCCGTTACAGAGGTAAAACTCTTTGTGTCCATAAAATGTATGTTTTTATATTTGGCCTGCGATTATTCCCCTTATCACGGTTATTTTGATTTTATATGTATCATTTGGCGTTTTTTTCTCTTTTTCTTGAGAATTTTTTAAAGATTTAACAGCGCGATTAAAACGTCATGCCAACAAACTTTATGATTTTTAAAATTTTGTTCTTTGAAATTAGTATACGTGGCTACTGAATGGCAATCAAAAGAACAGATTGTAATTAAACGCTAATATTTACACAATATGTGATTCCTTGTTTTAGCTTAAAGCTACACAATGAGCTATCTGCACTCTGTCCATCACGGGAAATCGAACCCCGAGTTTTATCATCACAAGTCAGTAAAGTTTTCGCTAACCGACTGGTGGACAAAATACGTAACAAACTGTTTTCTTCTTAATTCAATTTTGTAAAATTTCTGATTAAATCATGTTACCTACTTAGATCACAACTAAAAATCATCTCGGTGATAAGTATAGCTAATAAAACATACTTTTCTTAATTAAAAAGATCAGAATACTTTGTTTCATCACCCTGGATTTCAGACAACAAAAACAGAACTGAAACCTCTAACTACATTTTTATTGTCTCTAAAGAACCCATTCCGAAGACGTCCACGCCTCATTAAATTATTACCAAGCTTTATTGTGTAATCTTTAGTATGATTTTTTTTTGTTAAAAAAAAAGCTGTTACCAGAAAAATAATTTGAATTCTAACCCTTCTCGAAATATCTAATGTTAGTCACCATTTACCATGAATTTATCAAAACAAACACAATCGTTGGTGAATCTAATATCAAAAACCATGGCTTTTATAACATTAATTTAGTAATACAGGCGAAAAAATGTTGAAATATATTGTAATAATGAAAAATAAAGACCCTCTGGCATCTTAAACGAAGCCAATTTGCATCCAGCAGTTTAATTTCTGATTGATAAAGGCAAAGGAGGAGGAAGCAAAAATTATCTGTATGCGGAACCTAAGCATGGTAATCCTATGGGGATCGGGGAGTGTATGACCCCAGAAGATGTGGCATTTAATGGATTTCAAGAGGAGAAATTCCTAAATATATATATATATATATATATATATATATGGAAAGACGCCGACATAAACTATATGGCAGCCTTAAAATTATTAACAGATATTAACCTGCCCAACCCCACCCCGCCCCAGGCGTAAACCTAAGGGGTTGGTTTCATTCCCAACCGCCACCCTGATTCCTCCGCCTACGGATAAATCCAAATCGTTGCTAAAATTTCAAAACTGACGAGTCAGCATTGAAGACGTCAACGATTACCTGCGATGAACAATGGTTTGAGGCAATATTTATTTAAAAATATAAAACCTATGCAGGATTTTGTTTTCTTCTATAATTCAACACATTTAATAACGTGTCAAAAAATAAAAGTACTTTGCAGAACTAGTTAAGAAATTTAATTTCTGCCAATAAGTAATATACGATATTCCACATGTTGAACAGATATTTAACAACGATATTTTGACTTGTACCAATTTTAGATATAAATATATAACTATAAAAGGTTTATTCCTTTTGTCACTCTGTCGAGAACGCTTTCACGCTCCTTCTTTTGGTAATGCTCAACAATATACATCGTAGCTTAACAACAAAACTATCACCTGATTGTTCATAGGCCAACTATGGTGTTTATGTTGAATGCTCAATATTCATGTTGATTTAGTAATTTTTTGATAAGTTCGGGGATATAACAGCAAAATAGTTTAATTCAGAAGTTTTATAACATTGAGTTGTAGCCAAAAACAAAATAAAATTTACCAAGGAATGTTTCAGCCTACCGTTACGTTTACGTATTAGGCCTAATGCTTAAATTGACTACAAATAGGCCCACTATTACTAACTTTATTGAGCCAGTGTTTAAAAAGTTCTAAGTGATGAATAAATGTTAATTAATAAATATTCTTTTGGTATTTTAACACATCTATTATCAACTTGGCCGTAAAACAAAGAAAAACACCGTTTTCTACTCCCTGACCTAGATTACAGTGTAAAGGCTCAAGAATACTAGTTTAGAGTGCATACGTACTTTTGTTCACGATAACATTTCATTTTTCTGCGTAGTTTTTACTAAAAATGTTGTGATTAAAGAATTACTTCGAGACTGATGAAATAAGTGAAGAGTAGGTGCATTTTGGAGTTACAGACAAATTCGTTTTAGTTAAATTATATAATTTTCGTTAATCATTCAACAATGGTTTCCTGTCATTTTTGACGGGCTTTTATACTAGTTTTAATATAAAATAATAAAGAAGGAAGGCGCCATCTATGAAAATGCATGCAAGTGATCTCGTACCAACGCAAGTAAATTTTTGTTTTCATTAGTAACAAGAAAAACAAATTATGTCAAGGCTACAATTTTTAACTTTCGCAACTCAATCGTGTTTTTATAACAAGTTTAGTGCTGAATGCAAGAACATTTTCAATAACGAACGAGAGTAATGATCACGAACTCAACTACCATATAAACGTCCACTTTCCTGTGTTGACCGCGGCTAAAACGTTCTCGGTTATTGTTGATACTCTATAATGAAAATAAAAGCAATGAAAAAAACGTATACTCTAGCCACAACTCAAAAATTCTTTGTAAAAATTCCTAATGAAAACTTGATAAAATTCAACAAATTCAGTTCAGTATTACGTTCCGAAATATAATATCCCGTTCTGTTGGAAACGGGGTGCCCTGTTGGGCAAACACGTTCTAACTAATAAACATTAAGTGACCTATTGGACAAATACACTTTACACGTACAGATGGATTACCTTATTATATAATCATCTTATAACTAATGAACATTAAGTGACCTATTGGGCAAATACGCTTTACAGATATAAAGGGATTATCTTATTGTATAATCATGTTATAACTAACGAGCAAATAAGTATCTTGTACATAAACATGTTCTAACAACTAAAGATCGGTTTGCCTTGTCACTCTCTAATCATGATAAATATATAATATACTACTGAAGGAAGACGATTATTCTCTCCTGCTTTCCTTAAAGACGGAGGGATTAGTGTTGCCTTGTAAGTATTAGAGGAAATTAGTAAAATCGTGTTTTAAGTAATAACAAAAGAGGTATTTTAATTTCTATAACACAATTCTGGAGCAGTCAGACGTGATAACGCATTCAGTAAACAAAGGTACTGGATCATTGCCTATGTTTCATTGTGGATAAGCTTGTCCTGTTAGTAACATTTATATTCTAAGTATTAATTCAGTCACTGCCGAAATAGAAAGAACGGCAGTATCCGTCACAGAGTAGAAAAAAAAAAAAGTTAAATACATTACGTAACAAAACTCGTACCGTGTCGAATTTGAGCATCACAGTTTCGAGTTGGCTCATGTTAAATGTGGCATTAGAATCTAGCTGGTTACGTGGAAAACCTCAATCAGCATATCTAAATCTGTTAGTATAACGGTGGGTGTATTATACCCAGAAAGGATTTAAAACAAAACTGTTTTTAAAATTTGGTGTTCGCGATACTACCACGCAATTCTATTCAAACACAACTATTTCAAATCATAAGCGACCTTTCCAATTTCCCAAGAGTATTGCGGTCTGTTCACCTCTGCTATTTTGTTATTTATTAAACGATTCTTCGCTTTTCAGCATTCGCGTAAAATGTCGACAACTGTTCCAGCTTCGCTTCTGTTAATCTTCCTTCAGCAAAAATAGAGAGATCGATAACAAAGAACTGACGTAATCACCTGTTCAGACCCTTTAAAGATTATGTGGCTACCCTATCATACCTTCGCGATGCAGAAGCGAATGCGACAGAAATGACGAATATTTCCGATTTAACCTCATTTAAACATTATGGGAGCACCGGGGCAATATCAGCATAGACACACACACAAACATTTAATGAATCCTTGGTAAAACCTAGTCTTCAGGCATTACATGAAAATATAAACATCTCATATATAAATAGGAATGTCACTCATAGAAATATCCTTTTCACCGATCTCACTAGACTCATTCACGTAAGAGAGGGTGGTATATCAGCATCTCAATCACCCAGGGTGTGATAGGAAAGGGTGGTATATCAGCATCTCAATCACCCAGGGTGTGATAGGAGAGGGTGGTATATCAGCATTTCAATCATCCAGGGTGTGATAGTAGAGGGTGGTATATCAGCATTTCAATCATCCATGGTGTGATAGGAGAGGGTGGTATATCAGCATCTCAATCACCCAGGGTGTGATAGTAGAGGGTGGTATATCAGCATCTCAATCACCCAGGGTGTGATAGTAGAGGGTGGTATATCAGCATCTCAATCACCCAGGGTGTGATAGGAGAGGGTGGCGTATCAGCATCTCAATCTACCAGGGTGTGGTAGGAGAGGGTGGCATATCAGCATCTCAATCACCCAAAGTAAAATAAATCATTATAACTAACTCATCTCATGCATACATACACAAGATAATTTTGTCAAAACTTTACCATCATACAAATTCCTTACTTTCCGGGGGGGGGGGGGGCTGCATCATGTATGTGTTTATGATGTCAAAAAAAAAAAAACAACATGTAGGTTCAAGAACTTTTAATATAAAATGTTAAAAACCTGAGTGCTTTTGAAAGGTGGACCTTTCTTCTTCAGGAGCAAACAGTTTGCCCCTGAAAAAAGAAAGGTCCACCCTTCAAAAGCACTCGAGTTACAGGGTTATCATTATATGCAAGTGTGTGTGTATTTGTAAATCATACCCAGGAAGACGAAAATACATAATTCCACCATACCTACTGACTGCCTGCACCTGTCCACCACCAATGCTTTCTATGCAAATAGCTGTATCACTTAAAGGACTGACTGTCTTTATTAAATTAAGCAAGTTTTCCCAGAGACAAAAGTTAGGTCGTTGATGAAAAATCCTTTCCCTGTACCACTGTATTATTTGCTAGTTTCACAAAGTTCTGCAAATTTCAGGGTTAGTTGAAAATCATATGCTACTAAACACTTTACCAAGATATATGTAATAAATTATCTTATCTTTAAAAGATCTACAAAATATGTTGAAATACAATAACTCAAACATGTAGTGATCCTACCTGTAAAATTGTATTATGTCAAGGACACACTCACATAGTTATCTACTAGGCATGATAACTGCTGCAAAAAATCATCTCTTACATTAAAAAGTGTGTATAAATATACATACATTTTATATGCACTGTCTTGCCAAAAGAATTCAGACATCACTTACAACACTTTTAACAAAATAATGCAGTGTGTGTGTGTGTGTGTGTGTGTGTGTGTATAATGACAAGAGTTATGTTAATTCTAACAGTATTACTTGTTTGGTGCATGTTTGTTTACACATGAATACAAACATATACACTAGTATAAAAGCACAAGTAAAAGGAATAAAAACTTCTTTCATCACATTTCCCCCCAATTCTCATGTAACACTTCTGCATATTTTTGTAGTGTCTTCACCTCAGAGAAATAATGTAAGCTCAATAAAGGGCAAGATGCTCCTAAACAATAACAACAAAATCTTTGTTTAGGTTCGAGTTAGTTTGTTGTTAAAAACAATAGGCTGTTTTGTTGCCACTGCAGAGATCAAACACCACATTTTAATACTGTAAGCTCTCAAACTTCATAAGAAACTTGTAATTAGTATGATTCACTTAAAAGGAAGTGATGGCTAAAATCCAGGATGGAGAGAACAAGAGTTTGGGTGAATGACTAAACGTGATTCAACATTTTTAGCATCAAACCAATTCTTAGAAACCTACATAATTAAACTAGAACTAGTTATTCGTTAAATTTTTGCTAGTCTATAGAAGACCATCCACACACCAAACAATTTGAGAATCTGGTAATTAATAAGACAAAAAAATAAAGTAGGAAAAAAAGTGTAAATAAAGTGAAGGAAGATTATTTTTTCTAAATGGCAAAATTAATCAACCACTAATATATGGTGAATAAATTTATGTTAAAAGTTTCAACCTTTAACTGAGGAATAAATAATGCATGGTTAGTTTATATATTAAAGAATTATCCCTCTCTTTAATGTCATTTCCAATTTTTAACTACTAGTAATAACCTAATTTAACATGCAGTTCATGCTAAGGACACACGACCCAATTAAGTTCTGATATAATAATGTACTGGTTTAACAGTTGTACCACCCAATTTTGTCCAGAGCAAGATAATTTTGTTATTTTTTTTCCTCTGTTTAAACTAACAAGATAGATATAATAACTTGATCTTTAAAATGTATACTTTTTGTCACAAAATAATGCATGTTTATGTGAGGTAATGCAATCATAATGCCAAACTTCTTTTTCTCAGTAGTGATATAATTTTCATTTAGTTGCATTGCACAAACATTTTGTCCACATAAATATGTGCTAATACTGGTCCTTCAACAATATGTTGTTTAAACCTTAGGGATATGTTTTTTTTACATCAGCTTTTGCCCCCAGTGGCTGGTAGGTTACCCCCCCCATGTGACTTTACCCCTCTTTTCAATATACAAATCTCACAACATCAATAGACACATACAGTATTACCTTTGAAGGAATGCATGATAAAACATTCTAGAATTGATGAAGGAAGAGAATGATTTTCTTATTAAATAAATATAAATTTTGTGTCTTGTTAACAATATTATCTGCAGTAGGGAATATTTTGAGAGTGAGACTTCATTGACTGACTTATCTTCAACAAAAGCAACAGTTCACAGCTACTATCATACTGATTCACCTTGTGCCAAATATAATCTCCATCAAACATTAGTAAAGTTGGCTTTTAGTTTACTCTTAATGCTTGTTTCATGCTAATTTAGTGTTAAACCTATATTTTGATCTCATTAGTTACTGATTAAATTCACAGCATATTTATATTTATAAAAGTACTGGTACAGTGTACAATTCTTTCATTATATGTAAGGAATTCTCTTGCTAAATAGTTACAATATAAGCATTTATGAGAAAATAAGATTCAAAGTATAATAAAAACAAGATTTGCCAAAATAAGAGAAGGCAAGTTTGGTGACATTAGGTGCAAGCAAAACTCAGAGAAAGTATTTGAAGATGAGATTCATAGATCATATAAGATAGTGTTAGTGAAAGTTTGAGTAGATAAGGTTCGATACTTTAGGAGGTAACGATCTAAGTTTGTCCTGAAAGAAATTTCATTGAAATACTTGGCTGACTTGTATATTATTATTACATCTTTTATGAACATATAAAGCACATGAAATGTTAACATGACAGCCAAAGGCACCCGCAAAAAAAAAAAAGGGGGGGGGGTCCAAGTAACTCAAGTTTGAAAAAATTATTAAATTGAAATACAAATACTTTATGATTTTCCAATGACATAGAAGAATAATTCAAAATATCTAGTAATTTTTTTCTTTTTTGAAAATCCAGCCTCACTTATTGGTCGCATATACAATCTACTGCAAGTATACCAGCCATTAGCCTATTTGACTTTGTGGGGTCAGTTTTCTACATAATTAGATAGTAAAATTCTCTTGCCAAGTCAGATTTTACTTTAAAATGGAGTCAATCATGGAGAATGAGCTTTTTTAATGATAACAGTTTTAAATGTTTCATATATTTATCACTGACTGCAAAGGATAATAAACCATTATATATATATATATATATATATATATATATTTGTGATCCTGAAGCAGTAGAACTTTGTTCTCACTGATTTATCATCTTTATACATTTGTTAACTATACAAATATCACAACATTATGAAACTTCTTAGATTATATAATAAAAGGAATCAATGGTACATCCCCATTCAAAATTTCAGCAAACTGTTTTAGCTCTCCTTGAACTTTACACTAAACATGTTTCCAGTGTGCCAAAGTTCTCTGTCATTGTTACTTGTTTCTACTCCATCCAGGATAAGATTATCAAACATTTACTCATCTACATATGTATCTATAGGTTTCAATGAATGAAAGAAACCATCTTACACATTGAAGAAAACTGTCAATATTGGTGCATTTTAACACCCTCAACTTCAAGGTCACCGAGTGCGGGTAAAATCTTATGATAAAAAAATTCATTCAATTTTATTTGCCAGGTTATTTATTAAAGCATTTCAAAGACTGAAACTAGATCAGTCAAAATAATGTCCAAGTATTTTGTAAAATCAAATTATAATCTGAAATCCGGTGTTGCATGTTGTTTGATATAAATTAACTAAATTACATATGATTTTACAAACTTTTAGACACAAATTTTAAGATAATGGTAAAATTCTTTGTATGTTATTAGAAGCTAGTAATTCTGATGAATAGTTTCATAGTGGAATTTTGATGAAAACAAAGACTGCTACAGAGTTCACACTTTCATAAAGTATTCATCTTAATAATAACATAATAAAAAAAGCACTGCATTTTGAAAACAACAGACAATATTGGAAAATTTAATGCAATTTCTTTTACAAAAATTTATGAAAATGTTTTTTGCTCATGTTCAACAGTAAATAAATAAAAGTCACATTAAGTTTTTTTTTAGTGTAAACATTAACCCTTTTAGTTAAAACCATAACCAACACTTATATTTAGAAAGATAAACAATATTTACTTAAAGCTAACTAAAAGTTGTGTATTTATTGATAAAAATAAAGTACCAAGTAAATGGTGTAAGTCAAGTTTATACAACCCTAACTGAATGATCTCTTAACACAACTTGCATTAACTAACAAATATATATATAAAATGCTATGCTATTTCCTAATGACACATGAAATCAAACTCCTATCTACTAATACTTTTTGTTTTAGTCTCCAGGTGATCTACATTTTAAAAACCAATTTTTATACACTTACCTTGCATACATATTCATCATCTGTTTTTGCATCTACACAGCGATACAAGGTTGTTCCATCAGATTGTTCAAAAAGAATGTAGTTACCAACAGCACAAGCTGCAAAAGGTTCTTGTGTGCTTAGAAGAGCTGGTGGGGTTGGAGGTTGAAGGTTTGGGCTTAGACTTCCACTGTAAATTCCCCCTTTATCTTGTGGCTTATCAAAGCTCTGTTCTTGTTTAAGTCTAGCATGATGCAAGTTCAAGCGTGGTGGTCGAGCAACATTCATGAGGGAAAATTTAATTTTAAATAAAAAGAATTTAAACAAAAAGTTATATTTTCATAGCTCTCTGCAATCATGTGTTAAATTTTTTTATTATTTAGCTGACTGGTCTAAAAGACTTACATTTGCATATAATTATAAATATAAGTAGTGTTTGCTTCCTCACTTGTTTTATTAGTGTTTAAATTAGCCTAGTTAACAAGTGGTGATGAGCAATCAAATTATCATACTTCGTATTTCGTCTGATTTTGTATGTGCTACTTATTTTCTCAATCAGTTCTTAATCTGAATTCCATATGGCAGCCTAGAACACGAGGAAAAAAAAGGAAGAAAATGCATTTAATTGACACATACAAGTCTACAACAAAAAAAATACACTCTAAAGTTCATACAATACAGCTACTACCATAGAAAATAAACGAATACGGAATAGCGTTAGTTAGCCTATGTTTTCTACTGCAATTAAGAGTACAAATATTAGTGGTATGAAGTAACGCATGTGCTGTAAACGATATAATTTATAGGTTTTTATTAACGTCCACACAAAATTAGTCCTACTTCGATGATGTCTTGTAGCTGTAAAACATTGCACATCAACAAATTAAATAACAATTAATCGTGTCACGGAGATGGATAATTATTCTTTATCTATTATTTATCAATCGGTGTAACTGTTAGATGTACAATATTAATAATAATACAACTCCACGTATACCAGTGTATGACCTCATGTGACCTGAGCACGAAAATCCTTTGTTCCAGTTTGGTGAGAAATAGTCGTTTCGGTGTTTCTCTATGGAATTACTCTTCATTTAACAATTATAATTTTTCGGTAATATGAAATATGCCTTAAAGTTTAAGATGACACAAGATTCAAAATGAGAATATTTATTATGTTTCCCTTTGAATAAAGCTGACATTTTATCAATCACGAGCTACAACATATCCAATTTGACTTGGCTTCGAATGGTTGCAAAGTTACACGACCATTTTAAAACAATAAAACTAAGCATTTTTATTCTAAGTCAAAAACACGCATTTACAATATAAATTTTATAATATATTGGCCTATAAATATCGTGATTGTATGAATTATTTAGTTAATTTGCCCAAAATTAATTCGATTAGATATAAAGCTTTCTCGATCAAGTTCATTTTCTAACTTGACTAAACATACCTTTCCTTAACTAAATTTTATTCTAATGTAATAATTTTCCTTAACTAAGATAAAAACAATAATATTAACCTCAACAACACCCAAATTAAAGACATATTCTGACGAAAACACTTGGTTTAAATGTATAACTATAAACGTAACTATAAGTATAAAGCATAATTCCACACCACGAAACTTCGCACCAGTCACGACCACACAGAGAAAGCATACCTTCAGTGTTACTACCTTCTGCCTATTCTATTTCTAATTAAGAATTGGTTTTAGTTACATTACCTACGCCACGTATCCGAGTGCGTTATTCATGATTAGGTTGAAATGACACTCTTACCGTTCACTTGTTTCTGAGCAGGGAAGGCCAAACTTGAAAATATAAAAAATTTACTCACTCAAATACGAGGCTAACGACATTTACGGATGATCTACCCTAAGTCAGGCCAACCCCATTCAGAAACAACGCACACAGTAGCCTAGCGTTATGAGGCAAAACCAGACAAGGCCGGCATGGCGTAAGATAGAACGTAGAATTACCGCGCAATAATATTAACATAGATAATAAGTAGCACTTTATTTTGGAGAAGAATGATAGACTGTTTTGATATATTTTTATTGTATAATTGATTTTGAGTTTAATATTTTAACTTAATATCATATTACACACCTTTTTATAAAACATTATCAAAAATCGTTGACGTGGGAACTATTTGTTAGGAAAAGAAGACACCAGATAACCACATATGAAGTCATTCAAGGATTATGAAGGCATTGCGCAATATGTCAGTTGCGTTTCGTGTTAAACGTAAAAGTGCAATCAGGTTTCTGTTGAAAGAACTAAATAAAGCTTTGACGGATGCAAATGTTCTGTCACATTGGGCTATCATAATAAAGTTTATTTAAAACAAATTACAACTTCAATGATTATATTAAACAGTAACAAGAAACTGTTGTTTTATAAAATATCACTCATAGATTCGCTTGCTAAACTATACAACAATAATATCTTATTCTCAGAAACTTAAAACTTCTCTTTGTTTTCCTGCCCAATAATCCGTCTATACAAAACGTAAAACAAAATTTCACGCACGCCACTACATACAGACCATACCACAACAAATCTACTGTTTTATAATCTTTATTGCTTTTATTCTTGTGCTCCCTCAGTGGCATAGCGGTATGTCTGCAGACTTACAACGCTAGAAACCGGGTTTCGATACCAGTGGTGGACATAGCACAGATAGCCCATTGTGTAGCTTTGTGCATAGCTTCAAATAAACAAACTGTTCATGTTATATTGTACGCAAAACAATAAATTTTAAAACAGTTATAATGTCAGACATTTCACAATTTTTGGCCTATTTTATTAATTTTATCAAACTTATGGATAAAGTGGTGTAAAGTTTGTCGAGAAAACAAAATGTTCGCATCATTGTTCTTACAGGTATAATAGAACAATAAAAGATATGAATAATTCAAATAGTCATAAATTCTATACATACACTGGGTACTGAACAAAAATAATGTAAGTTAATGTTCCAATAACAGTATTCCATCTGTGTGAAACATCCTCAAAATTAGTTTCAGATTATTATTGTTTTCAACCATCTGCTCAATCCTGTACAGCTCAAAAATATGTCTTGTTGAAAAATATTACTTTTACATTTTTATGGAGCCATACATTGTAGCATACAACATCAAAAAATGTGATGATAAAAGAAAAACAAAAGTGCACATAACCTGTCGCTTACATTTGAAATTAATAATAAAGCTCTGTGCTACTTTTAGTATGGAATCACTGTACTAACATATCTTTAATTTAGGGAAACCATGAAAGTAAGCGCTTATTCAGTTCCACAAATATTATACGGAGCCACTTAAATGTGTGTTCTGTAGTAGGCTTGAGCAGTTATAATACTGTTGCGTTAGCGAGGTCACGTGACTAGTATCACGCCACTTCTTTCTCGAACCTTCGGGAGATTACTAGATTGGGGGTAGTCTGGTATATATAAGATGGTCACAACTTGACGGGGAACAGTGTAATGAGTAATTGAATGTATGCGGACAAAATATTGTTGGCCTCGTGAGACGTGAATTATAGTGTTGTTATAGAGCGACTGTTGAAATTAAGTGTATCGTAAAGTTGTATTCGGAAAGAATAAACCAGTTTTATTTAAGAAAGGACTTGTATGAAAGCTGAAATGTTAAAATAATGACCTGTTGCCATTGTTATTATCAATAAAAACATCCAAAAATGTAAAATGATGATGTAATTGATGCTATACTCTAAAATAAAAGCTGTTGTATATTTACTGTTATGTTATTCTTAAAACTAGGACCTGTTCCATATCATGCAAAAATGCTAAAACTATCCTCTACATACCATTACTCCCCTTGGTGGACACAGCAGATAGCCTGATGTGGCTTTGCTATACAAACACACACACACACACACACACACATATAACATTACTAACAAAATGTTTGAAAGACAGTGGATGCTTTTTTTATCCATTGTTTCATATGAAAACAAAGAATAAAACTGCTCAAAGAGGCAGCTAACTTTAGCCTTATAGCTGTACCATCTGCTTGATTGCAAAGAATATTAATGAGCACAAAGTTGAATTTCCTGGTAGGAAAATTCATGAGTTTTAAAAAAAGTGTATAAAGTTAGTTTTGTTGTTAACCTCAAAAACCACACAAAGAGCTTATGCATTGTGCCCACCTTGGGGATTGAACTCCTAGTTTTAGCACTGTTGCGTCAGCGAGGTCACGTGACTAGTATCACGCCACCTCTTTCTAGAAATATCCTGTGACTTCAAGAATGTCCT